GCCTCAGGCTCACCCATGTCTCAGCATCACTGTGAGATCTTGTCTCTATTTAGTAACTTGTTCACATTAAAATATTACTCATGCTGATTACTGAGATTTTGGTGCCTCTTAAACTTTGCCCCCAGGGGAATGCCTCACTCTCCTCGCCCTAATCCCGGCCCTGCCTGGGTGAATGTTCTGTCTACTCACGTGGCTCTGTCTGGTCTAGTCATCCAAACTCCTGCTAAGCTGGCCTCAGGCGAGCCTTCCCTGTCACCCGTGGGGCCACGGGGGGAGGCGTGGGAGCAGGCCCTCACGCCCACCCCACAGACTCCAGGGTGTGCTCCCATATTCCCAGCTGCACCTCAAACGCAGTCTCAAACACAGGGCTCGGGGGATCCAATGCCGGCAGTTAATTGTCCAACACGTGTTTCCCGAATGTTCCATGTGCGAGGCTCTCTGGGGTGACACGAGGTCCCTGCAGAGGGGACTTGCGGGGCAGAGCCCCCGGGAGGAAGGTAGCTTGACGTACTTGAGGGATGAATCCTAACCTTGTCCTAATTTCCCTTCTTTACTTAAGGATTTCTCTTTCTGCTGGTATAAATTATGCCACACAACGTCTGTCCTTACATCTTTCTCTGTGTCTCTAAGTATCTTCTTGGAAGGAGCCAGAAAGAGACTTGCTGAGTCGGTTGGAAGAAGCTCTCTTAGGGCGCCTCTATCACTCCAATCACTCAGCCTGGGTCCCCTCCCCCAAATCCCCAGCGGGGAGAAGAGGTGACATCAGTTATAATCCGAGGGTGTTCCCCTTGACCTCAGCAGAAAGAGGAGATGAGGGCAAGGGGGGAAAGGAGGAAACAGTCTTCCTTTTGTGGTAGATCAGGAAATAAAGGGAAAAAAGGAAGAAAAGGGTTTAAAAGGGTGGGGAGGCCCCTCCAGTTGCTTTTCCACAGTCAAACCCACGGAGGGATTAGGGCCCAAGTGTGGAGGAAGGGCGGGCAGGAGATGAGAAGTCTGCAAGAAGCGAGGAAACGCGTCATGGGGACAGAGACCTTCCGTCTGGCCTTAGCAGATAGAGGAGACGGGGGTCTGCTCTTGGAAAAGAACTGTGAGATGGAGCTGTTGAGTCTGTGGGATAAATGCTCCCCCGACTCGACCCTTTCCTTTGCTGATAATTCTAATCTGACAGCAAATATACTCTGCACGTTCCGAAGGGCATTCTCAACCCATCAGCCAAAATCACAGGGTCCTGCAGTCACCTGGCTCTTGCTCACCAGCTCCTTCCAAACCCTCTGTGATGCGGGCAGGAATGGCCGTCTACACCCCTTAGATGACCTCACCTGGAGGACCCAGGACGCAGACCAGGGTGTCAGATGGGGTGACAGGGTGGTTTTACCCCTCCCCGCTGCCATCTGTGCCTCCAGAAAACCCGCAGGCCCCACAGCTGGGTTTCTCAGGGGCTGGTTTTCACCTTCTTTCCTCATCCCATTCTCCATGTCTCCCCTGGCCCCGAATGCAGGTGTGAGCACAGGGCCTCCATACCTCCCACCTCAGCTCGGTCCCCACCCTCGCCCCCACCTTCCAGGAAGGGGGCCTGACAGGCAGCAAAGAGCTGGTGCAAAGAGGCTTAGATGAGGGGAGATTCCTGGGTGTGAAATGCATTCCAGGGATGGTGCTGTGTTCCTGGGGGTGGGGAGGAGAAGCAGGCTCTCCGGGTCTTGATGTTTGCCCCGCAAAACCCAAAGACGTCGTTTCTTAGCAAACATCTTTGGTCTTCGCTCTCTCTGCCTCCCCGACAATCTGAGCTCAGACGGGCGGGTTCGGCTCCTGGGTCGGCCCAACCACCCCCAACGTGTCCTAAATCAAACCAGGACCAGGAGATTTTCAGACACTCCACAAGATTCATCTGAACGGTATTGACGTGCCTTTGAAGGCAATTATAACTAGGTGAAGGGAGGAAGTCGATTTGGCTAATTGTCTGCTCAGATTCTTCCCCTGTGAAATAGGGGATTTAACTAGTTAAATGGTTCTCACCCAGTTGTTGAAAACAAGGCTATGCGTCGTTAAATATCATTTAAGACATTGTTCGAAATGGGTGCATCATAGTTCATGTTCTAGAAGATCCATATAATTAACTGCTCTACTTTCGTTAAACTTTGCAAATTTTCTCCCAATTTTTACTATTATAGACAAAGCTCTTATGTGTGTCTTTAAATATTTGACCATATGTGATGAACATTTTCATTTTTTAAATCCAATATAATAGTAAAAGAGGGCATTTCACTATTTTGTGTTACTTTTTAAATTTAGAATAACTTTTTTAATTTATTTTTTTATTGTGAAATTTTTGTTGTACATTGTTGTTTGTCAGTCACCATACAGAATGATAACGTTTTTGTGTGTGTGTGTGAGGAAGATCAGCCCTGAGCTAACATCCATGCCAACCCTCCTCTTTTTGCTGAGGAAGATTGGCTCCAAGCTAATGTCTATTGCCAATCCTCCTCCTTTTTTTCCCTTTTTCTCCCCAAAGCCCCAGTAGATAGTTGTATGTCGTAGTTGCACATCCTTCTAGTTGCTGTATGTGGGACGCAGCCTCAGCATGGCCAGACAAGCCGTGCGCCAGTGCGCGCCCGGGATCCGAACCCAGGTCGCCAGTAGCGGAGCGTGTGCACTCAACCGCTAAGCCACGGGGCCGGCCCCGAAAACTTTTTAAAATATGTTTATTGCCCATTTATAGTATATTTTCATTTCAGGGGGTGCTGTCCATCTTTTTCTGAATGTGTTAATTTCTCTGCCATTATAAATATAAATGCTCTCATCTCCCCCTCCTCCCCCCGTTTGTCCGTGGTAACTGTCTTTCCTGCGTTAGTGGCAGAGCAGTCTCTTATGTCTTTATTTTTATACTTGGAACGGTTGTCTTAGCCCGAGCAGGCCCCCATATGCCACCTTGTAATTAAGAAAACTAGGATCTATGAGAAGAAATCTGCCCAGGAGTTACATCTAGAAAGTGTGGAGGCCAGAACTGAGCCCCAATCCTACCTCCGGCCCTTCCTTCTGCTCCTCACGGTTCCTCTGATCAGCGGACCAGCAGACAGGCATGGGGGGGCCGGGGAGAGGACGGGGGCAGCTGCCCAGGGAAAACCAGGGGCGTGGAACCTTGGTGAAGCTGCCTTCCTGCTGTGTATCCTAAATCATTTCCTACCAAATACCAGTTCCCTAAAGACTTTCCCCCTGGTGAGGACAAATTTCCTGCAGAGAACATAAGAAAAACATAGAGAGAAAGCAAGAGACTGCTCCTTGTAATTCTTCTGCATCTACAGGAAGCTTGGAGATGCCAAGCTCCTTGCAGAGAAAGAACATCGATCACCAAGCCTCTTAGCCCAGGCAGATTCGTGCCCACATTGCCCCAGGCGTGTAAAACATGGTTGGTGATTTCAGTATCCTTTCTCTGGTCACTACCACAACCCAGCACATGGTAGGGGCCAATTAATATTTGTTAATCATTCTAGTGTGGATTACACACATTGTAAGGTGTTTTAGAGGCAGAAAGTCAGAGTCAGAGAGAAAACCTCACCCTTCAGGTCAGCGGTCAGCCAAGCCTTCGTCCCGTTCCTTCTGAACAGGACAGCTACCTTGTCCCCTGCCACGCAGCTCTGCTCCCCTCTCTTCTGCCCTGGCCCTGGGAAGTCCAGAACATTCCCCCTTGAACAGATACACAGAGGCACCCCCTCAATTATACCCACATGGGTAGAGGACAGCCTGGGGCTCTGCTCCCCAGGAGCTCAGTCTGGGGGAGTCACACCCCCTTTTCAGCTGGGACAGTCCTTAGGGCAGGAAAAAGGGGTGGGCACTGGGATTGTGGGACAGATAGATGTGTACCCACCAACACCTGGGTGGTCTGGAGTCCAAGACCCAGGCACTGACGAAGATCCAATTATAGACTCCAGGCTGTGAGGCAGGCCCAAGAGCGGGGAGGCCTCCCCAGACCCTCCCTGACAGAGGGGGACAGGCGGGTGGATTGGGAGGCCCCCCCGACAGAGGGGGACAAGTGGGTGGACGTGCGTGCACTAAGAGGCCACTGCACCATTGTTCACGAACGTCCTGGCAGTTTGCGCGTGGTCGGCCCTTTCCTGACCTCACAGAACGTAAGGGAATAAAGGGAAACGTGTGTCTGTCTCTCTCCCTATGTCGGTGTGGCCGGGTGGGTACTGGAAGGGCCCAGGCCAGACTGTGAACTGGAGAGCAGAGATGCATTTCATTCATCTTCCCCATTCCTCCCTCAGACCCGCTCATCTCACGCTGGGGTTGCATTAGGCCCTACAGGGAGAGTTGGGAGAGGGGGGCTCGTGTTCAGGAAACTGCCCAGGGGCAGGGACACGCTCAGCGTCCAGAAGCAGCCACACTTGGCTGGGCAAATCCTCACACTTTATTGACTGTTAGCCACGTTCCACCGTCTCTGAGCTCTTCTAGGTGTTCACAGGACATCTTTTTTTTTTTTTTTAAAGATTTTATTTATTTATTTTTTCCCCCCAAAGCCCCAGTAGATAGTTGTATGTCATAGCTGCACATCCTTCTAGTTGCTGTATGTGGGACTCGGCCTCAGGATGGACAGAGAAGTGGCGCTTCGGTGCGCGCCCAGGATCCGAAACTGGGCCACCAGCATTGGAGCGCGCGCACTTCACCACCAAGCCACGGGGCCGGCCCTCACAGGACATCTTGAGTGCTCCAGTCGGTCACTCCACACAAGGCAGGACAGGATTTTTAGAATTCCTTTTTCCCCATCTAAAGAGACCCCTTATGTCCTCTGCCTGCTTGCCCCGCACTTTGTGCCCTTCCTTCCTGACTTCGTTCCCTGAGAAGAGTGTCGGGGGGACCTCTCCACGGCACAGTACGCGGATCTGCACGTCCCTTTCAATTCTGCAGCGTGTTCGATGTGTAGAGGAACCACAGTGGATCTAATGCGTCTCCTAGCGCTTCACACTTACTCAGGTCATTTCCACCATTTTGCTGTGGCAGCAGCTTCAAGTGCTGCCCCCACGGCTGCGGTCGCTGGGCGGGTGCCCCAGGGGTCCCACCGAGGTCCTGTCTCCGGCGGGAGGGAAGGAGGGAAACTGCTCCCGATGCCCGGCAGGCACCTCCACTGGGTAGAGCTGAGGCCAGAGCGGATTCGGAGGAGGAGCAGGGTGCTGCCTGGGCTCCTGGGGCGGAGGGGACCCCTGGGGCCAAGGGGGCTCCTGGGGCAGATGGGGCAGCTGCTCCCAGGACCCCAGGGGCTGGGAAAGCGGCTGCTGGGGCGACATCCCTAGATCCAGAGCAGGAGGCTGCCAGCCCCACCAGGGCTGCTGTTCACTGGCGGGAGGACTCTGCGCCCAGCCCTGCACAGCCCCGTCCTCACACGCCAGGAGCCGGCTGGGGTCCCCCAGATGAGTCCCTGCACCACCAGCTTCCAGCTGTGAGAAGGGCTGTGTGGAGGCGGGAAGAGGATACAGAGCTGCAGGGCTGAAGCCCAGGGAGGGAGAGGGATGGAAGTCTCCAGAAGGCTCGCTGAGTGCGCTGGCTGGAACCTCCAGGTCAGATGAGGCCACATTCAGGCCCAGAACACCAGCATGCCCCGAGGGGACGGCTTGACCAGAAGCATCCTCTGACTCCCAGGAGAAGCAGCCGGCGTTGCTCTCGGGCCCCGGAAGGCCCAGCTGACAAGGGCAGCCAGGGGCGCAGGTTCCCCCCCGACCCGGTCCTGGAACCTGGGCGTCTGCCTCCACACCAGGCCTCCTCTGGGTGCTCTTGGGTATTCGAGCTCTCCGGTTCTGAAACCAAACCTGGGGGGCAGGGATGGAGAGAGAAGGAGAGGGAGACAGACGGGGGGAGAGAGAGAGAGAGAGAGGAGGGAGAGAGAGAGAAAGAAAAGACATTTTTCAGTCAAGCTCAGCCCATGACCACCATCACTAAGCAACATGTGAGCTGAGTTAAACAGCTGTCAAATGAAACTTCTAGAGTTCAGAATAAAGGCAGAGTCCTTGGCTGGGCTGATTCAAACCATCCACTGTGTGGCCCAACCTACCTTCCAGGAGAACGTCCCCAAAGCGCCCAGCTTGCGCACACGCATGGACACACACACACACACACACACACACACATGGGCACATGCCCACGCTGTGTGGAAGCTGCCACTGTGAAACTGTGTGCCCCGCTCTGCCTTCGTCAAGTTCCCCTCTTGCTTTCACTCCTGAGCCTTCTTCTCTCTACCCACCAACCGCAAGGGATCCTTTATTCTCCAGATAATCTTTCAAATAAGCACCCCCCGGGGGGATGTGGGAGATGGGGAGATGCTGGTCACAGGGCGCAAACCTCTGGTTATAGCCTTAACGTGTCGTGTCTGCCATCAAGAGCACTGTGTTGCACACTTGCAAGTTGCTGGGAGAGTAGATGGGAAACCTTCTCACCACCAGAAAGACGTGGCTATGTGACGGATGCAGGTGGTGATCAGATCAGGACATGTAAGTGTATGGAAGCGTCATGTGCACGCTTTAAACTCAGTGTTACACATCCCCTGTCTCTCCGCGAGGCTGGGAAACAATCAACACAAAACTGGAAAACAACAAAGAAGCCCTTTCCGGCAGAATTTTTAAAGCCCTGGAGATCATTGCCCTTTTTTCCAGATACGTTCATTATGTGTTAAACAAGCATTTGTCAAAATAATCAAAAATGTATTAAAAACATACTGGAAAACAGCGAGGGGCTGAATATACGAACTGACACGGCCCAGACCACAGAAGACAGTGGAACACTGACCCTTGGCCTCCACAGCCATCGCCTCCTTCCAACTCAGGACCAGCCACCAAATCTGCTCCCCGAGCCAACACACAGGGCACCCCTCTGGAGGCCGCCACAGCCTCCACCACGCCCACTGCCCCCTCGGGGCTTGACTGGACCTGGGCTGCCCTCCTGCTGCCTTGGAGGCTCTGCCCCTCCAGCGATGGTGCACCTGCCCTGCCCCAGACACTCGCTTATTCCGGTGTCTCCCTTCCACAACACAAGGAGTGAGACGGACACCCCTCTGAGTAAAGCCCCGTTCCACCCCCACCCGAGTTCAGAGTCAGTTCCTCGCTGGGTCCTTCCCCGGGGCCAGGCGAGTCCTGGGGGCAGGACAGCTGCTCCTCTGCCTCCTCTCCCTGCCCAGACACAGGCGGCCCTGCCTCCTCTCTCCCCATTTCTGGGCAGGCCACGCGGCCTCCTCCCTCCCGCCCTCCCAGGTTTTGAGATGTGGTCCTGCTCCCCCCAGGACTAATTCTTCTCCTGGTGGCCCCCTCAGCCCTCACCCCGTCCGCTCAGCCAGGCCCCCCCTTGCTCTCCAGGAGCACAACAGCGGCCTCTCTACGGGCCCAGCAGCCAGGTGAGCCCTGAGCCCTGAAGGTACACAGAGCTATAGCAGAACTACACAAACAACACACCAGGCGTTTTTTCTGCTTAGAAAAAAAACTCCTCCAGTGAATTGCAAGACAAAGGCCCAATCCTCCAAAGGTCGGGTTCCCGGAACTCCAGCCCTGCTCCCTCCTGCACACACCCTGGCCTCAGGCTGCCTGCGCCCAGGGCCGGTGGGCCTTGGATGCTGGGTGCTGGATGTTGGTCTGTGCCCAAACCAATCCAGCTGTCCTCCCTCTGGGCCCTTGCAAATGCTGATCAGATCTTCAGCCCAGCAAACTTTGCCAGCCCCTCTGGGCATAACTGCGTGTCTCCCAGGTGCCTCCTGAGGGACCCACGCCACGGACCCATCTGAGACCTTGAACTTCAGGGTTTCACATCCCGGTTCCAGGAGCTGCGAACTGTAACCGGAACCGTTTACTGAAGTTCCAAGTCCAGTTCTTTTGACTGTAAATGGTTATGAAGTTGCACCCACCTCTGAGGGTTGCAATCACTTCCTGGTGGGCTGCCTGTCCCTCTCTCTGAGTGCAGGTCCCGAGCCAGCTGATACGAGGCCACTGGAGGCTTTCCACTCTCTCTAAATTAATGTCACTGCTTACAGCTATCGCTAAGCTTTTCTGTATCCCGGTCACTTTGTAGTTTGAAGCAGCTTGTGAGGCGGGGGGCGCTCCATGGAAAGACGTGGAAATTCATTTGGAAAAATTCAGTTCAGGTTCCCACTGCTTCTAAAACCAGGTAGCGCCCCAGCCCTCACCGTCCAGGTTTACCTCTGAGCGCCTACTGGGTGCTTCTGGTAACCCTTCCCTCTCCGGGCTGTGGTTTAATTATCTCTGGGGTTACGTAGACTTTTTTACAATAAAATTCTTAACAGTCGCCTGGCACACAGTCAACCCTCAATGGATGCCATCCCACTCCGCCGTCTTCCTGAGCACCCCGGAAGGGGCTAGGGAGGACACGGTGGGGTGGGGCCCCGGGAGCTGAGGCCCGCTGTGGGGTGGCTCGGCCTCTGCCGCACACGAGAACCACCTGGGGAGACTTCAGACACCCCGGCCCAGTGGAACCCCAGACGTCAGTAGACTGTAAAGCCCTGCAGGAGGTGACAGCACGCGTCCAGGCCTCGAGCGGCTGTGGGGCAGGGGGTCCCCATACTGGAGTCACCCGGTGGTTTAAAAACTTCTGAACACCCGGCCCACTCCCAGAGATTTGGATGGGACCCTGATAGTCTAGGAGCGAAAAGCGCTGGTCCAGGGCAGAGACTGCAATCCTGGCTACACGTCAGAATCATCCGGCGGTCTTCCCAAACAGCCTGCGGATATTTGGGCTCCACTCAGAGAATCGGATTCCATTTAGGTCCGAAGTTCTTCTCAAACTGGACCACACACTTCAGTCACCAGGGGACGGGGGTAAAATTCCCCATTCCCAGTCTGTACCAGACTCATCACAGCAGACTTCCTGGAGGCGGGACCCAGCCCCCTCAGGGGATTGTGGCATGTCCCCAATGCTGAGACCCAAAGTATCAAATGATCCGGGACCCCTGGGACCCTGACACTCTTTTGGGGATCGCTGTGAGGTCAAAACCACTTTCTTTACGATACAACACCCAGACGCCGTCTGCCTGCCCCTTCTCACTCTCTACTCTCTCAGGGACTTTCCAGAGGCTGGAGACCCCGCACAACAGATGGGATGCAAAGATCTGAGCACTCAGCTCCAGTCCTGGCATTCTCCTCCCACTCCTCGCACTAAATTTTCTGGCTGTGAGAATGTGGTTGCTTTTCTTGAAAAATAGGTTGTTTAAGTTAACATGTAAAGGGTTTATTGTGGTTATTTTTAAATGAATTAGTGCATATATTGAAATTTCTCGGTTTCCATTTCTAACATGGTAAATATTTGAGGATATAACCCACATCCGCCAGTTTAGACTCCATCCCTTGCTGGAGTTGTAACCTAAGTTACTAAACCTCTCTGATCTTTATTTTCCCACCCAGTGGATGGGATAATGCCCACCTCACAGGGGTATTGAGAGGATTAACACAAAGTCGTTTTTTAAGCCAGAGTTTAGACAGGCTTTCAATCCGCTGGTCCCTCACCGGCCCCTCCCTCCCGTCAAGGAGCACGGATTTACATTCACCTGAATTCTTGACTCAGGGACCTGGGTTCGCTTGGCCAGCTCTTCTCGGACGGTGATATCGGGGTAGGCATCCCTCTCAAAGGCCTCAGTAAGAATCTTGTACTGGTGTTTGCTGAACTTGGTCCTCCTGCGCCTGCGGCCTCCTTGGGGTGCTGGAACAGACACACACTGGGTGAGAGGAGGGGCGTTAGCCTCAGGCCTCACATCTGTCCACTGACGCTTGCCCCCCGTCCAGGGCAGTGTAGAGCTGCAGCCTCTGCTGAGAGGGACTTGTTTCCAGGCGCGGAGCTCGGGCCCCGCAGCAGAACCCGCTCCCGACCGCCCTCACCCGCACGTCTTACAGATGCCACGAAAGTCAGGGCGCCCCACACAGATCTCAGGGCGTCTGGCATGTAAACTCTAATTGCAACTAGATGCGCACATCGAGGTACTGGCCTGGGTGCCCTGGACCTGCCGAGACTCCATTAACACGTCTCTACTGCCTGTGCTAGGACCCCAAATACACAAATGCTAAGAGGTGCCAAAATCCAAAACATAGGGAAATTTCTCGAGAGAAAAACCTGACAATGGGGGAATTTCTAACACTAACGCTTGTATTTCCTCTCGTGTCCTGGGGGAGCCCCTAGTCTTCAGTTTTAGCTTGGGGCCCCCACTCCGAGTCCATCAGAGTTCGGCTCTCTACTGACACGATTCAGTTCAAAACGGGATTCACTCCGTGGAGAAAAACGGCAAAATACGAGGCCCAGGTGAGTCTGGGCTCCACCGCCCGCCCCCCAGCCCTCAGAGCTCCGGAGTGCCACCCCACCCCACAGAAGGGAATTCTCCAACTTTTGAGCTGAAAACATGAAAACACACTGTACCACCATGGACACCTGCTTCCATCCTGAGTTCCTGGAGGGCGGCTTTTGCAGGTCTGGTTTGCGTTTTAGCCCCCCCTCCCAAGTCCCAACACCAAATGTCACCATTCGCAGAAAACCTCCAACCACACCAGGTGAGGCTGCCCTTCCGCACCCATGAGACATCGCCAAAGAAAGGCCTGCCCTGAGCCCAGCCTCTCTGCCACCCTCCCAGCCGGCCCTCCTCTCCTGGGAAGGACTCACCATCTGAAGACATGGCCCACCGAGCAGGGACCAAGTGGGAACTGCCGCCTGCCTGCCCCGGAGCCCTGGGGAAAGGTGGAGGGACCCGCCCAGCTAAGCCCCTTTTTAGCACTTTGCAAGGCCCACCTCCCTGCACACTAATCTTCTCTGGAGAGGATGGTCCCAGCAGTGGTGCACGGACGTTCTTCCGGTTTCCCGCCAGAGCAGGACTGTTCTTGTCTGCTCTCGGCCTTGTAGAGCCCTGGAGACTGAAGGTACCTGGGTCAGGGCTGAAGAAACAGGACTGAAGTTGCCAAGCACAGCCATGGAGTGGTGCAGGCCATGCTGACCACGCACGTCACCAACGAGGGGCACAGCCACAAATGAATTAGTTTCAGAGAGAAAAGGAAACACCCCCTTCGCACCCCACATGCGCCCCTCCTGCCCGTGTGTGCACGGCAGACCCCCAACACCAGAGGTCGGGCAGACAGGCACCCTCTTACTCGGTCACCGTGGAACCTGCCATGCTCTTTCCTCCTCCGTACCCTCCGAATTACAACGTGCAACGTTTTATTCACAAAACGAGCTTTCATAAAGCAGCTGCCATGGTGCCTACGCGGCACCTAGAAAGTGGTGAGCCAGGTTTAGACTTGGATTTATGCCGTATATCAGAACCCCCTGCTCTGGAGTCTGGATGGATTGATCAAGTCCCAGGGTGTTTTAGCAGCACATAAACCATGTAAATGGAAAAGACCCTGCCCTGAGAACCTTCCCCAAGCCTGGGCCACCGGGAGAGGAGGCGGGGGCAGAGGCCGAGATGGAGAGCTGTCTGTCAGTTGCCTTATCTCACTTTGGCAAATGATTAGCAGGGCGGGGCGATAATTACAACACATTTTAATGATCGTCAAGTGTTCCCTTTCAAGCTGCATAGAGTTTTGTTTCTGGCTGGATTAATTTACAAATGAAATGTTTTTGGACATCCTCGTGGGATTGCCTCACAAAAAAAAGGAAAAAGAAAAACTGTTTCCACCAAAGTCTGTGCTGAGCTGAAAGACTAAAGGAACAGCCTTGAAGAGACGGACGCTGGAGAAGCAGAGTGGGGACCGCCCTGGAGAGCTGCTGAGAGGGCCGACTGGAAACGCCAGCGAACGCTTCCCAACGACCTCCGTGGAGAACTGCATCTTGGGGCACCGCCAGGAAATCCGGTTCTCGCCCCTGTGGAGGAAGCTCCTGGCCTGGTCCGAGGTCCCCCAGAATGCTCCCCGCCCTAGAAGGCTCCAAACCTGCTCCAGTTCTGGTTAGAAGCGATCTCATAGCTGCGTGTCCTGGAAGGCCGCGGCGCTCTGCCTGAGCAGATTCAGCATCAGAGAGCCCGCCGGGGCTGGAGGAAACACCTGACGGGTACTAAAGTCCTCCCTCCTGCCCAGGGGACAGTCAGGCCAGCGGCCAGCAGTGTCATCCCCCCCCCCCCAACGTCTCGGGGACGGTGGGAGTGAAGCGTTTTGCAGGGAGGAGGGAGATGACATGATGGGGGGCGCAGAAGTGAAGAGGCCTGGATCCCAGTGCGGGGAGGTTCGCAGGGGGCGGAGGGAGCCCCACATGAGCGGGGAGGGGCTGCGGGCAAATGTGCAGAAGGGGAGACACCCCAGCGTCGTCCAGGGACAGACCGAGCAGAGCAAACGGGCGGCGCCGCGGAAGGCACGTTCAGAACCCCGGGTCCGAGTATTTGGATCTGCGCTCCGGGCCAAGCCCCGCCGGGTAGCTGGTCCTCACCGTCTCCCCATCTCTATCTCCTCAGGAGCGAGGCCAGGCCTGGGAGCCAAGCCAGTCTTGGCCAGGCCAGCTGCCCTGTGTCCTCCTCTGAAACCGGCCACGAGGGCATCTATGTCCAATACACGTGCTGTCGGCCACCCGGCAAGTCCATGGAGATGCGCTGTGAGAGCAAGACACACGCTGCCTTTTGAGCACTCGAGAAAAGGAGTGTGAAACAGCTTGATGATTTTTACTTCCCTTACATGGTGGAAAGGAAGACGTTTCTGACATATTGGGTAAAATAAAATATATTATTTAAATCAATGTCACTTGTTTCTGTTTACCTGTGTAACATGGTTACTATAAAATTTAAAATTACGTACGTGGCTGGCTCTATATTTCTACCAGGTGGCACGGCTGCAGCCAGGAGCCCCAGACAGCAGGCACCACAGCTGCCAGAGGCCCACACCCTGGGGATGGCTCCGGCCCTGGGACAGTGCCCTTCAAAGAGAGACACCAGCCCACCTGCATTTATGGACAAGTGGTCGTGTCCTCCTCTCACCTTTCTCCCAAATCACCCTTGGAAACGGGTGACAACTCTCGGCCTGGATCATCTGCCCCTCCCCCTCTCCGGAAGAGGCAGCAGGACCCAGACCACCCAGAGAGCTAACAGCTTCCCGGTGCACAGACGAGTTCCCAGAAGGGAGATGCATGTGGAGATTGTGCAGGTGTCCTCACGGAGGGAGGGCTGGCTCCTCCCTCTGCCTTGTCCAGAACGGCCTTGCCTCAGGACACCAAGTGGCCTTGGTCGGACACTTCGCTTTCCGGGCCTCGGCCTCTGCACAGCAAAATAGGGTGGCGACCGTACAGTAAATCATCTCCAAAAGCCTCTGCAGTGCACACAGGCTGGCCCGGCCTCCTTCCAGCACCACCGAAGGGTTTAACAACTCCAGGCAGGATGGTGGCACCACCATATCCAATCTTTCCATGTGCATTTTCTCCAAGTTTCTGTAAGAGATTATAACTATGAGTCAGAAAATTACCATAAATTACCATGGGGCTGGGACTCCAGGGTGAAGGCTAGATGAGAAATCACATCCCCAAGGCAGCCACACCCACAAGCGGCAGAGCCAATATTTCACCTGAACTTCAGACTCCGGGTGCTGGGCTGCCCCCTGCACCACCCTGGACCAGGGGCATTGGGTCGAGATCTCCAAGGAGCGTCCAGCTCCGACAGGCAGGGCCCGTTCGGTTATATGTCTCTAGAAACCTGGGGTCTGGGACCAAGGACACAGACAGCTGAGCAATTCCTTCCTCCCCGTCTTAATTTTGTTTTATTAGTTTCACTAGGAAAATATACCCTACAAACGAAGTTGAAACCAACAAAAATCCCACACAGTTTTAAAAATTCAAATGAAACATCTCCTCCCCCCCTCACGCCAGCCCCCCAGCACCTGTCCCTCTGATTGCAACCCCAGTGGGAACCATTTGCACTGTTTTTTCAGAATGTTCTTGTATTTCTACACACGACATATTATTTGACAAAAACGTAAACTCTAAATCTATGAGACTGCAGGACGCGCTTCCTCCCCTTGGACGTTGCCTCCTACCAGCACAGACGCCGCAGGTCAGGGCTGCGTGGACTCACCGTCATACCCCCTCCCGCCTCCGCTGACACATGCACGCTTCTCTCCACTATTTCGGAGCTGCGGTGAACGTCCTTTGGGGACTGACTTCTGCTGAGAAGATTCCAGCTGCAGGCTGAGAGTGGGGAGGCTGCTGGCCGCAGCTTAGCCGGGTCATCACACAGGCCGCAGACCAGGAAGCCAGCAGGGGCAGCTCCCTCCTGGGAAGACTCCCGGGCACAGACCGTGGGGCCCGAGAGCAGAAGGGGGTCCCATCTACCAAGCAGCCAGCAATCAGGAAAGAGCTGGCCCCCGTTCCAACCTGTCAGAGAGAAAGGATTGCAGCTGGGAAAGAACTCGTTTAGAGAACGTAGCCTCAAATCTTAAACCCTGGTTGTGTGCGGACTTCACTGCCGGCCTTGGGCAGGAGATCCACCCGCAGCTCTCCACGTTGCCTTTTCACAACCCTTGGGACGGGCGGAGAGCTCTTACCCAAGTGTAAAACACCCGCCATAAAGGGAACAAGGATACACTTGACTTCATTAAAACTAAGAACTTCTGTTCACCAAAAATCTGGATTACAGAGGGAAAGGCGAGACACAATGGGCACAGGCATCCACCGTCCACAAATCCAAGGGCCCTGAAAAATCATGGCCCCATATTCGTTACTGGGGCTGGCACAACGATCACACCAAAGAAAATAACTTTTTTCTATTGTGGTATAACGTAACAGATTTGCCATTTGAACCATTATTAAGGGTACAGTGCAGTGGCATTAAGGACATTCACATGGCTGTGCAGCCATCTCCACCATCCATCTCCAGAACTCTTCATCGTGCAAAACTGAGACTGTCCCACTAAACACTCACTCCCCACCCCCTCCCCCAGCCCCTGGCACCCACCATCCTACTTGCTGTCTCTGTGAATCTGACTTCTCCAGGGACCTCATATGAGTGGAATCGCACAGCATTTGTCCTTTTGTGACAGGTTTATTTCACTGTTGTGACTTTGTTAAATTAACATTTGTTAAGTGGAGCCCTGGGAGTCGGATGGTGAGCCCTGGTTCAACAAAAGACCACAGGGAATTGAAATAAAGAAGTTTATTACTCAAGGGTCCTGGAGGAAGTGCCTTGAGGGGCCACCTGGGGAGGTCAAGGCAGGTGCAGGCAGAGAGAGGCGGGACCTGGGGCACATGCCTTTCTTAGGATCCGCGGGTACAGGGCTTTGGGGTTCCCAGGCTAAGTCCAGACTGATCACTTCAAACCCAAAAAAGCAGGGTTTTTGTAAGCAATTTGGAAGCATTATCTTAGGGGCACACACAAGGAAGGCCTTCAGAGGCAGGGACTGTGGCTCACAGGGCTGCTGGGGAGTCATTCCAGGAATTCACATTTATTTGCTTGTGACTCTGTGGGCTGTTGCCTAGGACAGGGGCTCCATGGTGGGGCCAGGGCCAGCTCAAGGCCCCTGCAGGCCGCTGGCCACACTAACCGAAGCTGAGGCAGCAAGACTCGGGAGCAGCTCAGCTGAACTCCGGACAACCCACCGTGGGTGCCGGGGCGTCAGGAATAGCAATTGCTTGAGCAGTGGTGTGGTAGAGGACACGGGTCTTGCTTTCTGAAGCCACGTAAAGCACGTCGACCCAACGCAATCACGGTGA